TCACCGACCTCAGAAGGATGGAAGGCTGAGTCGACCTTGAGCCTGGTGAGATTTGAACCGCTGAGCTGCAGATCACAGTCAACTAAAGTGACCTGCAGTACTGCACCCTAACCACTGCGCCACCTCGGCTCTTGAGCTGAGGAAGTCACAGCTGCAACAGGTTAGCGTAGAAACGCTGGGCAAGGAACATGAGCAGCTGCCAGTGGCCAGCGAGTATGAGGAGGTGGGACCCATGCCTCCTTCCAATCCAAGGGCCTGCAAGGTGGAGAGGAGACAATTGCAACGACGGTTGGCCAAAGTACTCGCAAGGAGCCAACTTTGTCCTCTGTGAAGGGCCGCACAAGCAATGCCTATTTAATCCTGCCCTGAGAGATTGGCGTTGCTAAAACAATCTGTCTAGTTCCTTATTCTGTGTTTCTGTTCTGTGTAGCAAAATTCCAAACTTTGTTACACGAAACAGAAGCTGGAAACGTATATTGTATGGACTGTTTTGGAAGAGCAGGGGTATGTTGTGTGTGTTGAATAAAATCGATTTACTGTGGGGTGTGGAAGTGAGGCAGCCCAACAACTCATATTTCTTGATAATTAGTTCCCAAATTATATGTTGTAGAATTCTTCAGAATAACCTGTGACAGGTTATTCACGGAATTACCTGAGTGTAAACTTAGATATCAGGGGGGAGAGAGGGAGAGGGAGGGAGGAGAGAGAGAGAGGAAGAGAGGGGGGTGAGGGAGAGGGAGGGAGGGAGGAGAGAGAGAAGGAGAGAGAGTGGGAGAGGGAGGGAGGAGAGGGAGAGAGAGGGGGAGAGGGAGAGGGAGAGGAAGGGAGGAGAGAGAGAAGGAGAGAAAGGGAGAGAGAGGGGGAGAGGGAGAGAGAGAGAGGGAGAGAGAGAGAACGAGAACCTGCCATTGAGAAATTAATCTCTCTTCATATTATTTTCCGCCTTTAAATTGAATCATAACTAAAAAGCTGTTGAAAAAGAAGATGCCATCCAATAAAGATTATCTTATAGCCCTTCAGCGAAGAATGCTTGAAACAAAACGTTTATCCGAGAGCTCTTGAAACAGGACCTTTTTCAAATAAGAACTCAGATCAAATTGAGAAGAATACACTAATTCCACCCTCATTGTCACAGAATAGCTCTAAATTTAGAGGTTAATCTGGAATACATCCAGAGAATCTAGCTCAAGATGACAGTCAAATTCAAAGACAAGATTGCAAGATAGACAAATAGTACCTGAACACAAGAACTGTTATAAGCTGGACTGCCCAAAAAATATTCCTAGTTTTTTTTAATAAAATAGATTATAAAGATGTAATATCATTGGATGATTTCAGGATAATGATCTATTCTATATAGAATTGTTTATCTTTTATAAAAAGGCTTTTCAACATCATCTCCATGATCTTCACTTGCAGTTTGTATAAGATTTCATATTATCAATCTAGTATATATAAATGCTTTGTTATCATTATTAATCATTTATTAAAAAAAACTAGGAATATTTTTTGGGCAGTCCAGCTTATAACA